TTTCTTTTTTAATTAGCGCTGGTCGCATTCTTTTTTTCAACCTCTGTTCGTTGAAAATTTAAGACTTTGTTGTTTTATTAGATTTTGTCTTATCTTTTTTGTAACGCAACAAAGAAGTGAAAGAAAGGCAGCCAAATTCTTATATATTTCTTGCTGTCCGGCACAACAAGACCGAAACAAACATTCTTTTCTTTTTCAATCTACCTTTTGCTTGTTAGACTAAAAAGTTCGAATTGAGAATATCCCGCATTCTTGTCCTTGTTCACTAGCATTTTCTTTTAACAAACAAAAAAACATGCGCCATAAACGACACACATATAATGCGATAACACCAGGTATACGATACTCGTTCATACTGTTAGAGTTATTCTATATGGCAACGGGGGCAATATTAATTACGTTCGCGGTTCTCTGGAAACTGAGTTACGGCCCAAACATACGGAGTCTCGTTCTCACTCCACGTTTATTGCTCAGTAAGTGTTTTTAAACTTATTCAAATATTCGCGAAATTGATAGAATTCTTTGTTAATTTCTGATTACTTTTTTTTCAGGTGGATTTGTGCTAGGTGGGATCATATTACTTTCGTCACTCATAAGCGTAATAGGATACTCAAATCTATTACGTCGCAAAAAAATGGCTTTCGGCACATGCTACATTTATTGTTGTCACCACAATTCTATTATTATGTCTGGGTGCAACAATTTGGTTCGAGACCTTGGAAGAACAAAGTACTTATGGCGCCGAATGGAAAGAATATGACGACGCTACAAAGGCTATGATACAAGATAAAGTATGTGAAAAATTTCGATATTTTCTCTGTATTCTTTACGACAACCTCACTGATTTATTTTTATTGCAATCTTTAAAAAAAAAAGCTACAATGTTGTGGCTGGCAAGACGTTCAAACTTACACCCCTTCAAATTATTGCAACGAGCAAAGTGTGTCAGACAATAGTACAGTTACATGTAAAAGTCCTCTAATCAGCTCAATCGATAAAACGATGCGTCAATTGTTTACCACGTTATTCGGGTTCATAGGTATCGACATTTTTATCTTTTTTGCCACCATTATTTTAATACAAGCGATTAATGTCGAAGAACGGTACCGAAAGATCGAAGAAAAACATGCGGGAGTTGACCGTGCCCTAAGAATGCAGTATGTTTGATGCAGTTAAATCAATCAAAATGAAAATGTAAAATAATGTATGATTACATGGATCTTTGTCGCTTAAAATCGCTCTATTACGAAAGTTTAGTTTTTATAAATGTAATAATGTATTATATTGTTCTGGAAAAATAATTGAATGTTTGATATATTGAATTTTGGTTGAAAAATAGTTAGGAGGCTAATTGACAAAATAAAATTTCTGATTGTAAACAAGTCTCGATTATAACAATGGATAAATATCTCTTAGAAACTGCATATTTTTGAAACACTAATACATCTGTGAAGTGCAGCCCAAAAATTTAATTATACTTGTATCCGTGAGTGTTGTACATTTTGAATACCCAGGGCTTTTTTGGGCTGAACTCCTGTTTAGCTTAAACATTATTATCAAAAAATTCATACATGCAAGATTAAATGCATTTCGACAAAATTGGGTTGCTGAAAACAGAAGAAAATCCTTTTTAAATCGTAAAATCTCTTAATCGAAATTAGAGTTAACACCGAAAAGAGGTGTCTTCGATAAATTTGCAACTCGAAATGATTATTTTTAGTAACATTACTATGTGCTTTATACATATGTATATACATATATCAATCAGGGATTCATAAACGTTCCGGAAAGATATCTTGGCATGGGAAAAGTGGCACATTCTGCATGAAAAAACTAAAATTCTAAGGCTCATAGAATTTCTTTTGATACTTTCAACTATGTGTTAATAAACTCAACATGATTTTAATTAGTAAGGAAAGTCAGGATATTAAGCAGCAGGTATTTTTTTTGTTAACTGAAGCATTTGCTGCTTGCTCTAAATGACGATCTTCTTGCTGTTATCTTTCTCAATAAATTTAACTTCAACAGGCTTGCTCTAAAATGACGAATAATAATGATCTTGAATTTTATGGAACCTAACGCTAATCAACAACTTTTCAAAGCCTTAGTTCATAATACAAAGGCAACCCCGTTATACCAAAGTGGTCGGTGCTATTAGTGATATTAGTAAACATTCGGTTTATCCGAGGTTTCATTAGTAAATTCGGTTTAACGGGGTAGATTTACTATGGCTGATCCTGGAGCCAGCCATCTTTGGTTAAACGGGGTTGCCTTCGTAGCTCACAATCAACGACAAGAAGCCATGAACGACCAAAATACCCCCGATTAACGCAGGAACAAAATACTTAAAAATAATGCCTATTATAAATCGACGAATTTTTTCGTGGGAATTTGCAGGACCGGTTCGACGTGTACCACAACCGATAAGTATTACATCACGCGAAAAATAAAGATCATACACCGCGTTTCTCAATTCACATTATTTAACACGCGGCCATTTGCCAAAAGTAAACTTTTTACTTTCTTTCATCTTTTACTTTGATTATTATTATTATTCTCTTGTTCTTGTCTCAATATACACAAGCGAGATTAGGTATCTTATTCACATATATTGTATTAATATCTAAAGCGTTCTCTCTTGGTTGAACTTCTAAATGTCGCGTACTCTTGTTCTCTTTCGCTTTAAGGTAGGGACAAGCAAACTTAATAGGAAATATTGCGCTTCCTTGTCAGTAATACAGAAAGCAAAAAAAACACACCTAAAAGAAGAAAGAAAATTTCACAATGAGCGAAGACAGTCAGCCTTTTCAAATTTCCGACACCATGTCGTCCTTGTTCAACTTTGACTTTACTGAGACAGAAGATATCCAAAACTGGGCGGGAATAGCGCCAACTATGGAAGATATCGAAGCCGCTGCCGCCATTCTCTTTTCCAACGACTACAACAACGATGCGCAAACTGCAAGCGTCTCTTCTTTCCCATCTGTCTCTCCTACACAAACAACTAATCAGGGGACAAAGGAAACTCAAGAATTTGCAATGTCGGCAGAGAAGAATAGCGATTTAATGGAGATGTTATTTACACAAAAGTTTTTTAACGAAGATTCCTCTTCCATCACAAGTAATCAAGGAGTAAAGGAATCAGTGACAGCGGCAGAGGACAACAATTTTCTTGATATTTTACTTCCACAAGAATTCCTTAATGTGGCGAGTTCCTCAGATATATTAAACCAATATCCGGAAACCGAGATCAATGGTGCAGCTGAAGGAGAGAGATTGTTAACAGACGATAGCTTGATTTTTCCGAACGAAGACATGTTGTATGCGTTACCTTTTATTATGGATACCAGCACATCAACCTCTATGGATACGTCTACATCTTTTTGTGATAACGACTTTTCAACAAGCATTACTACACCTTCTACGACTGGTATTCTTGATGAGTCTTTTCTGTCCATCTTTGATGAGTCAACCTCGACTATGCAAGATAATACTACTCTATTTGGCACTTCTCCCGCAAGTACTTCGTCAATATCCGACCTCGAACTTTTCTTGAGCACATTTGGCGAATCAACTTCTAATATAAGCGATGCTGCACCAACCACTCAAAACTATGAATATTATTGCAATTTTCCATCGACTGTTTTTCCGATCACGGCTACTTCGACAATACCCGCGGTAACGCCCATCAACTATATCACACCCGCGTCTTCCCAAACGACATCGCCCGAGAAAAAAAGTTCCCTTGAAATGATGTCCAACACGAAAGTAATATCCTCGCCACCAAAAACACCAAAAACAAGAAAGAATAAATCTTTGACAACGGATCAAGAAAACGGGCAACAAAAAATCAGACACAAGATCACAAAAAGGAATCAAATCGAGACTCCTCAACGTGATGCATTGGTTGACTCATCAATGATACCACAGAACTTGATGAATGGAAATTTAACCATGGAACAGGTTCTGGAAAAAGATCCGAAGCCGCGAAAGAAGAAGGTAATTTTGCTATTCTGGTAATTGAAGTCACTGATGAAAATTAATTACATCAAGTGGTTACTTCTGATATGATAGAATAAAGCCACTCCGCATCAAAAACACGCTAATTTCATTAATGCTACCTTGCCAACTTCGAATACCCATGCCACGATCAACACACCCACACCCAAACCTACACCGTGCACAACGACGATAACTAAAAAACGTCGCATGGAAGAGAACGATGATCTCCCCACAAAACCCGATTACTCATACGCGGCTATGATCGCTCAAGCGATTCTTCATTCTCCAGGAAAAAAGGCAACCCTGAATCAAATCTACACGTGGATTTCTAAGAACTACCCATATTACAAACGAGAAGAAAAATCAGGGACGGGATGGGAGGTGAGAATAGGAAGAGATTTGAGGTTTAATGAAATTTGATATTTATAACTTTAATTTCTTCATCAATAGAACTCGATACGACACAACTTATCACTTAATAAGGCATTCCAAAGATTGCCCAGAATAGAAGGACAATCAGGAAAAGGATGCTATTGGACCATTCTCCCCAATCACGAAATGATGATTGATAATAACTGGTTCAAAGGACATAATCGATCAACTAAAAGACAATGCTTATCCGCTAACGAGTCGATAACACCATCGATAACCAAAAAAACTCCATCGACACAGACAATTCCCATCGAGATAATTGACATCACAGGAGATGATGACAATGATGATTATAATGACGGTGGCGTTAATACCGAAAGAAAACTACCAGAAATTATTGAGATTGATGACGATAGTAATGTAAGTCAAGCTAAAACCCAAGCTGAATCTGTATCTACGACAACTACTTCCACATCTTCATCCAGTAAGAAGAATACGGGCAAAGAGCACTTCGACTATGACACGTTTGAAAACCTCTTATTACAGGCGTTAAAATGTTGATGAGAAATTAAACAAAAAACATTTATACTTAACTAACTAGATGAATGAAAAAATTTTCATCATGATTTACATATATATATTTCACACAAAATATTTGCCATATCATAAAATTAGAAAGGATAATTCTATCATTTAATATTGAGTTTACTTTATTCGTTCTAATGAGAATTTTCTATATAAACAAAGTCGATTAATGAATGCGACATTTGTAAAATGAAAAAGTGTAAATTCTTGAAATACTTGTGAATACCCTCCTTAGGTGCCAACTAAAAACGTTACCAAATCTACTTCATAATTAAAACGTATCTTTATCTAATATACAAGAGAGAATATATTTATGTTGTTTTAGCATAATAAAAAAAAAAAAGGATTCTTATCTGATATAAAAATAAATATAGTTATCATTCAATATAGGTATTTTCATCATCTTTCTGTACCTCAATGTTACCTTTAATAAAAAATTTGAGCAAAAGAGTGATAATAGGAATAAGCGATAAAATGAAAACTATTGCAACTTTTTCCTTGAGGCTACATTTATTAGCACTAGCTGTAGAGATGCCATTTGAAGTTGCTGCTTCATAAGATGGTAATTCTTCATCGTTACCAATATCATGTAAAAAGTCATCATCCGCCACTGAATTCAAATAACGATAAGTGGGCGGAAGATGACTACTGTGACGATGTTTATTATTTGTTTCTTTTACATGCAGTTTTGATGGTTCTGATAAACCAGTTGAATCCGCGTAACTGGGTGGACTGTGCGAGGGTGACGAGGTTATAGGTGCGCGAGTCATAACTATTTTCGCTAAAAATATTGCGAGTATTTCTAAGGATATGTATATATGATCAAATTACAGATTTTTTCTTTTCTCTATAAATTTGATTGTGCAAGATTTTCTGTATGTAAATGAATACCGCATCGTATTGGCTTTTTTTGTTCTAGCAATACTAATGACTAAACAATAAAGAAGAAACGCGGAAAAAGAACGAGTGTTCTAAGGATTCGGGTGTCACAAAACTAACTTTTTTAAATCACATGATGAAGAAGAAGATGATGGTGATGATGAGGATGATGATGACGATGATGACGATGATGATACAATATTTACAATCTAACAATTTAAATTATGCGATTAATAACCACCCTGGCCATTGTCATTGGCATCATTCCGAGCAGCAGCTTTCGAGAGAGTAACAAACACAGGAATTAACGTAATGAGGCATAACACAATCGCAAATTTAACTAGGTTGGAAAATAAAGTCGCTTTACACGAGCTCTTCTGCAAGTTATCGGTATTAACGTTAGCAATTAAAGACGTTGGTTGCGTAGAGACCGCGTAGCTTGGTAAAGGCTCGTCATCGTATGGTTGATTACTACTGTCATTTGAGTCTATTGTGATAAGGAAACGGTCATTTGCTTCGTTATACGGATAAGGCGGCGGTGATGGTAATTCATTTAAATCTGTCGAATTATTGGTATTATTCTCATCTGTGTTATTAATATTTATTAAGTGAACCGGTGGTGGTGTTGCTATTGTTGTTGGAGGCGAGGTTGCTGAAGAGGACGATGACAACGACGAATCAGGAATAATGAACGAATAACTAGGCGGCAAACTTGTCAAATATGATAATGTTTTTCTTGTCGTCTCTCTTTCTCCTTGTTCTTCCGTTTGTGTTCCCGTTTCTTCTGGTGGTTGTGGATTTTGTACTAAGGTTGATGTGGAAGACTCTGCCGTTTCTTCCTGATCTTTCTTGTTTCCCTCTTGATTTTTAGATATCGATTCGGTCTCTATTTTTGCTGTTTGTGGTGTATGTCGCGTTGAAACCATATTAGTATTGTATTTGACGATGTTGTCTCTAATAAATGTTTTATCAAAGAAATGAAGATTTTTGAAAAGACGCCTACTTTTTTATTTTGTATATTTCATGTCTAATATTTATTTTATTTATATATTCCGCGTCTATATTTACCACGGCCCGAAGAATTGTATCTACCCCTTACATGTGCATAACATAAAATATAAATAATTTCACTTTACAATAGGGATAATATTTAAATATGATTTATTACCTTTTGCAGTTATCAAATAACCAAAGTGTTATTGTAATTACTGTTTCCGGTTTTGTAATCAACGCTCTAACCCTATTTATAATAGGGTCAGTTAACTCTGACCAATTTCCGAAATGAAGGATAAACATACAACCGAATTCGTATTTAATATTTACCAGCACGAAAATAATATAACGGGAGCTATAACTTTTTGTTAAACTCATCGTATCAAATATAAAACTTTATTTGTTTCGGCAATCGCAATTTTTAATTAATGTTTGTTTGATTCACGGAATGCCAAGAAATAGAGATCATTATTTTTTTTAATGATCTAAATATGATGTTTAAGATCAAAAATGCGTAATTATCGTTATGTAATATTTGTACGGTTATAATCGTCGTAATAAGAATGCGCAGACACATGAAAAAATGCGAAAGATGCCATTTTCATGTAGTTCTGAATTTTTTTCAACCAATTATACCTTTGATTGATTTGCGAAAATAAATAACCTCCCTCCCAGCATCTTGCGCACCCGACTAATGTTATTGATGTCAAGGATCAGGATTAGCATTAGAGTTGTAGATTAACACTTGATACATATTATTGAATTCAATAGTAGTTTTACTTGAATACGATTATAATGAGATTTTATTATAAAGAGATGATTTTATTATGGTTGATACTTGAAAAGAGCATAATATAAAACTTTTAATAAAATATTGATACTAGTTTAATATAATTTATTCATAAAATCAAAGAGAATTAATTTAAAATAATGTATTTAATAAAAGATGAGAACAAAATAATTTCATAATAAGCATTTTCAAATTATTTAAATTTGTAATTAAATTATCTATTTTAGTGAATAATATGAGAATAGATTCCTTTATATACTAGGTATAAAACAGTTTCGATTCGAAATTTTTCTGGTAAGAACATTCTATACATTTAAGTTTTCTAAAAAAATCTTTTTATAAATTTTTTCGTGGGAAACTTCAATAAGCATGTACAATTAATCACATTAAAACACATGATCAAAATATTGTTCGAAAGCTCGAAAGCTGAAGATTTTATTATTACAAATTTAATACGCAACTTTATTCTCATTAAATTTTTAATGTATTATTTGGCAACGAATTCCATTCCTCTATTATAACTTTTCCACTTCGTTTAAATTTTGCGGCATTCAGCTCATAGATTTTCGATAGGATTTAGGTCCGGACTCGATGGCAGCCAATCAAGAACTTCCGTAAGAAACTTAGTTTTACCGCTTGTATGCTTAGGAACATTACCTTGCTGGAAACGCCATTTTCTTCCAAGCATTTTTTTTGATTTTCCTGACACGCTGCTGCAAAATTTCGACATAAAGTCAGCATTCATAATACCTGAAAGAAAATAAACGAGTTTCTCCCTTCGCACAGAAACCACTCCACGCAAAAAATTTTTGAACGGTTTTTTGGTATTGGACGGACTGATCGTTTACCAATGATTAACGTATTTGGAAATAATTGAAATCAGTGATTAAAATTGGTTTAAAAAATTATCTGCGCAAATGCAAATATATAATATGCGCATTTTTAAAAAATATATATATAAGCGCAATCTATTTAAAAAATTTATATGCGCAATTTATCTTTAATATGCGCGTATTATAAATTTTTTACAAACCAAATTATAATTTTCATTTGGAACATACAACTGACACTAAATGATTGATACATTAAAAAAAATCTGAAATGTCAATTGAATATAAAGATAAATGCGCGTACCTGTATCATTTTGGGATTGATATTAATTTTGGCGTAAACATTCGTAGAAAATTTTCTTGCAATTCCATTTTCTCGTCAAGTTTTTTCCATTTCTGAAAATAGTTGCACAACTAATCTCCAATCTGCGCGGCGCAAATTGCGTAAACTAATTTTAAACACTGGTTGGAATGCCGTTTCACAAGAGAACAAGATTTTTTCCAGTCATCACTAATGCTGTTAACATCGGCGTAGCATCTTTTATATCCATGCGATTTTAAATGTCTACCAATTGTACGATATGAAATGTCTACCTCCTCGGTGCTCAACTTAGTAGCAATTTGTCATAGAGCATAGAAGTGGTGTTACGAAGATAATGACCCACCTTTCTTTGATATATGCGTGGTGATTTTTTTTTAGGAAGTCCATTACACCTTTGTGCTGAATTGTTCCTGTTGATTCTAATTGAAATAGCTAGGCTACTTAATTTTGGCACAGAACGTTCACCTTTGTGCCAGTAATAGTCTTTTTTTCTTTTGTTCTGAGATAGATAATGCTAAAAGACTTTCTGCATTAAATAAAATTCATCATACGAGTTTTATTTTATTCGCGTTTGGTTTACAAAATGAACAACTTTGTATATGCACGATTCTTTATTTGTCAATCGTCAAGTTTTTTGTCACTGTCTGTACAAAACAATGTTTCTAAATCAACGAATAGAAATACGTACATGTACATGTACGTACACGATGTATAACATTCATTAAAAATAATTCTTTTTTTTACGGTAGTTTATACCTGTTCTGTCTATGATCTGATCTTATCATGTTTTGTCTGTACTTTAGACCAATCGACCACATACTTCGTTCCTAAGCTATTGTGTATTCTAAAATTATCAATTTTCCTAAGCTATTGTGTATTCTAAAATTATCAATTTTCCTAAGCTATTGTGTATTCTAAAATTATCAATTTCATAGAGCAGAACTAATCATGAGATTGTGCTTTTTTCATCCATTTATAATCGTAAAATAGAAAAGGCTGTAATTCAATTGAAAATAAAAAATATCATAAACGTTTGAATTGGCTATAAGTATGGGAACTAACTTTCGAAATACCTAAATCATTTTTATTTTTCAAAATGGAAAAAAGAAAATTCGCGCTTATTCCACTTCTTATTGCCATACTATTTAATTGCTTTTCTTGTTCACTTTCGATACCAATGTAAAATCCCATTATTTGCAAATAAATTAATTTTTAACCATATTATTTATTTTACAGATTTTACCAGTGTTTTTCTCCTGACTGCACATATGGTGCCGCGTTTAATAATCCCTTACGCCTACCCCCAGACCCAGCGGTTAAACCCAACGGAATTTAACCCAATTTCACTGGACCTACATCCAGGTGTAGAGGGCACGAGACAATAATTCAATACTGTTAACAGGGCTAATTTGATCAAGACACTTGTTACTATTCCTCTCATAAAAGTTTAAAACACTCAATAGATGTTTATATTCTAAAACTGTGTCAATTTCAGCATAAATGATTTGTAAATTAAATTCACGAAATGTATACGTTGTTACCCCGTGAGGGATCTATCGAATAATCCGTGAGACTGTACGATCACGGGTTGTTTCCCAGTTAGTTTTCCGTTAATAATTTCGTCGATCAATACTCCGACCTCTTTATCGAGTTGATCGGGTTCCCCAAGTTATTGTGCTAGTTAAGGCAATTCGTCGATCGCGGTGTCGTAGTTTCGTTATTTAATTTTGCGTAGTCTCAGGATAGGCTACTTTACCAATTAGAGGGCGTGGGACAGATTAATAATAGTTTGAAAGAATGTATGTGATTATTTAAGAATAATAATCTTCATTTTATTTAATAAAAGCTTTATGACAATAGTTAATTATTTTGTTATATACTCTTATCGTGATGCCAAGACTAATGAATTATTTTTGTTTTGATTCATTAGTTAACGCCTTATTTCTCTAATGATACATCAATTATGGCTTTGCATTATTATATCTGGTTGCATATACAGTCAAACTCCTCTAAATGCATTTTCTTTAAGTGCATAACTCCTTAAAATGCATATTATTAGTTTGATTCCATAATAGAATCTATAAGCTTATTGTATATATATATATATATATATAATTGAAATTTCTATAAATTGATATATATATATCACGTGATATATTGTTAATTTTGGCCAGAATTATAATAATTCTGACTAAATTAAGATTTATAAACTCCAAGTCTAGTCTGATTTATTATTAAAAATATGAAATAATGGATCTAATCTGATTTATTATCAAAGATAATTAAATAATTTTTCTAAATAGTATATAAAAAAGATATTTTTTTTATTTATATTTTTAAATTATCTCTTATATTTTATCTTACTCTCTTTATTTTTAAGTTATTTCTTTATTCTTCTTATATTATTATATATTCTTTAAATTATTTCTCTATCTATTATATATAAAAAATATAAAATCTCTTATTTTCTTTTATTTTATTCTTATATTTTTTATTATATTATTCTTAATT